TTATTTTAGCTTGAAAAGCAGCAGTTTCACTATATTTTATTGATTTTTATGTTATTATAGGTGTAAAAATTCGACATTTTGTTATATACACTGATTGTGAAAAAAAGTGGATAATACTTGCTTAATAAACGTTTTGTAGCCATCAAAATGCTTCAGTGTTATTCTGTGGGTCAAATAGTAAAGGAATGCATGGTAAAAGCATTTGTTCAAAAAAGTTCACAAAAAGTTCAAAGCCCCACAGCTTGGAACTGTTGTAGCTAGAGGTCTGAAATTTGCTGCATTTGTGGCTGACATGATGTAGAGCAAATGTAATGCAATGAGACCTGCCTTTTCTCAAGCATGTCTTTATTACTGCTATTCAAAAAAAGACCATTTTCAAGAATAAAAAAAATAACTTTGAGTCATGTTTGAACTGTTGCAGCTTAGTCTCTGTGTTCTACTCACGAAATTTATATATTCATTCAGACATATTATTTGCTTTTCCATTTCGGTATGCAAAATAGGCGAGAATTTCCCCAAAATGAGATGGATGTTAAAAGGATATTTTAGTGCAAAGATAGATGTTTAAAAAGGAATTGTAGGGGACCAGCCAAGGACCAGCCAAACACCCATCATGGAAGGTGGGCAAATTTTAAATGGCTATGACTGTAAACCTTTTTTTTTTTATCCTTCCTGCTTTATTCCATATCTCTTTCCGTGGAGGGTCAAAAAGAAGGGCGCGATAAAGAGTCTGAAACCATGAAGGTCAGCAAGCAGAATATACTGTATTAGTAGAAGAAAGCCAATCGTTTGGAAGTGTTTGCATAACTGTTGAACATAATATTAAGCAGTTTTCTGTTAAAACCATCTGCCTGTGAGGTTATTTAAAGAAACTAAATAGAGATAAACATGGTTTGTATATATTTTGCCGGACTATCTGAGCTTGTCCAATGATGACATTAGACAAGCAGTTTAATGGAGAAAATGTAAAAAGCATCGAAATTGTCTCAGAAAAGTCATAAAAACATTTTTCAAAGATGTGTATTGGCATTCTTTAGTGAGTTAAGTACAGAAAGTAGTTTTAGTACCAATATTACGGTATTTATTGAAACCCAGATGTATATCTGGCTGCACAAGTGCAAATGAGCAGATGGTATGGATCATGCTACCGGTACGGATCAGGTAAGGACATCCAGTACAGTAGGACCTAACCGCGTTATCTACCCAGGATGCACTGCACAGGTGAAAACAATGGCGATTGCCATGGATGGAAAATATGACAAAGAATATATATGTATTTTTAAGTAAATATGACAATTTTTAAGTTAAGAGGAAAATGAAAACACATCTAGCCCAAAATGTGTAACTTGTCATCAGTCCATTTAACAAACTCAACTTTACACATTTGGTATCATTTTAAATTATCGTTTCCCTTATGGATGGCTAATAAACAGGTTAAAAATATGTTAATCTTAGTTTGTGAACACTTTATAACTCATTTATTTTGCATTATTTATGGAGGAAAAGAGACTAAACTGTCTTGTTCCCAAATAATGAGCCTAATTTGTTCATCTACATATTTATTTAAATGTTGCTTATATTCAACATATCAGACTAAGCTAGTACCTTGTGAGCACATTAGCATTTGCAAACATTACTAGCTCAAATTACATGCTGAATAAACACATAAATAAACTAGAAAGTATTTACAGATTAAATATGAATTTATCTATAAATTAGCCACCTATATGAGGAGCAAAGATATTTTGATAACAAAATATCTTTAGCATTTCTTTAATATAAAACAAAGGATAACCTCTGGTGTCCACTGAAGCAATAGATCATTGAGATGCTGCTGAATCAGATTTCAGATTATACTCTCTTGAATCCTCATTGAATACTCTGAAAATGTTATATCATAGTCTGACAAAAATCATCTCATAATCTGACAAAATAAACCAAAAACTGAAAAAAGTCAAAATCAAGTTTGAGTTCCTTTAATTTACATTTATTTATTTTGATTTTTATTTAAACATGAGCAAAAATAGACATAAATTGAGAGTCAAAAATAATAATTCAGGATATTTTCATTTATTTGTCTAGGTAGGTATCTTTAACAAGTTTCATAAATGTATATTTCAGGACAATCTTTTGAACCACAATCATAAGCAACAGTGCAACTTTAAGAAGATATGTGTGGGCGATGATATATTCACTGTTTGAACCATGAGTTTCTTTCCAGCTTCTTCTGCTCATGCAGCTTTGCAGTTTCTAAAAGTCCTTTGAGGGTTAAAGTCCTGCTAGTGAGCTATTGTGTGAGCGAATCTGTATTAATTAAACAAAGATAAGCACAGACTAAAATGATAGAAAAAAACCCAGCCCTTTCTAAACAAACCATTGACATTTAGCCTTTTTGTTTAACTCATTAAGCAAACTCCATCATATAGCTTTCATGTCACATCCTTACGCTCTAATCCATTTACAGCAAAAATACTCTGTCATGCACAAACCATTTTATTGATTACCTTTTTAAATATTGCACCTATAATTGTCTGAACATAGTCCTTCTTTCTCTACTTTCCTCTAAACAGCCACACATACAGTATGCACAGGGGATAAATATATATTGCTTTTGATAAAAACCCCAGATTAGCACATAAAAGATAAAGGGATAAATTGAGAAAGGAGAAGGAAACATTCTGTGAACCTGGAGAACAAATATGTCTGTCCACCAGGAGGCACTGTGATGCTGCAGGGGAACATTTTCCACTTGTGCGCTCTTTATGTTGTTTATTGTGTAACAAGACACCTTAATGATTCTGTTGGTTTTTTAGATGAGGATCCATCTGCAAAATTCATTTCAGTGTAAATTACCATTAATATCTTTGGCAGAAGAATAAGTGATCTTGAAATGTAAATGAGGAGAAAGTCATAAATTAATGGCTGAGGGAATTATTAAAGGAAAGTATGGAAAAATTAGAATTAAAAAGGTGTTCTGAAGGAGAGGACTGGGAATCTGATGCTTGGAGCATGAACGACAAAGTAGGGTAAAGAAGTTCAGCGTGCCTGCTTTGGATTAGTTGACCAGATTAAGAGATTACAATGAAATTAAGTAAGAGCTGAAAGCGGGCCAGAGGAGGAGTGCACATATGAGCCCTTCAGTGAAGTTCTAGGAAGCTAAAAGAGGAGAGCACATCAGTCTGAATTAGGATCTCTAGATTAAAAAAATTAGATGCTAATGTTTGATCTTCTTGTTGCTCTTGGATCAGATAAAAAGCCCTGTTTGCAGCACAAAGAACTAAAATATAAACCAGCAAACTCAGATCTTAGACAAAAGTTTAGTTTCTCTACTGCCAGTTTCAGTCCCCATGGTGAAGTTTGTAAGAGATTTTATCTTTAAATGTCTCTTTAATCGCAGGAGCATTGGTTTTTGTTGACATTATAGAAATAAAAAACTAAATATTTATTTACGTGGGTTTTACTATATTATATTATATATTTACTATATTTTTATTCACCAAACTGAAACAATACAGCCCTAGTGAGACTTACTATAACTAACTAACCCTAACCCTAGTTTGTTTATTTTTTCAAATTCCAAAATAAAAGCATATTTGTTAGTAACTCAGAAACCAAAATAATTATTAACTAAAATGAAGGTTTTGACAAGGAAATTTTCAAAATAAGTTATATCATTATTTCATCATAAATAAGTCATTGGAAATAAAATAAAATAAAATAGCCAGGGATGCTGCTCTTTGAGAGCAGAAATTTTGGACAACCTCCTTCTCATTGAATTTGGAATCTAGAATTGTTACTTTCTGAGAGTTTCCATAAACATGATGGAAAATCCTTCAAATATCTGGAAAGAATTGTTTTTATGAAATTAATATTATTAAGAAACCTTTAGTAGTTTGAGGTATCGATATGACATAGTATAGAGGTCAATTTCTCTAATCAGTAGTTTGAATTTCCATTAAAAGGCAGATACTCTAGTAAACTGATCTGCAAATGTCAGAAAGTAGATCAAAGACACATTTCCACTGTCTAGAGTGAAAACACTGATAAGGGAGACCATTTATGCTAAATATCTCTATAGAAATATTCCCATTATATAAGGACCAACATTATGAAAACCTGGCTTATTTTTTAGGCAGTTTATTGGGTGCCGCACAGTGCAGGGAATATCACCTTATATCATTTTTTTATTTATTTATATGCCAGTAAATCACTCTGGTATCATAAAAAAGATTTCCACATCCCTCTGACCTATTAATTTTTATTTATGTTTTAGGCTTTTTTAGCTCAGTTGTTTAGTAAATAAAGCCCTTTTTACTAGTTTACAATAACAAAAAAGGTGAGGTACTGTGCACGGGTGCAGGGAGTAAACAAGGAAGTAGCCTACTGTGGCTAAGCCAATTAGCACCTCTTAGGGAAGTGTGAAAACAATGAAGAAATAAAAGATTCAGTGTGAAAAAAATGCAAAAAATATATTTCATTTCCAAAAGTCACAGTCTGAGCGCTGGTTAGGAAGCTAAAGCTTGAGATGTGGCTGTTTTATCCTGAGACATTGCAGGATCTCTTCATCTGTCTTTCTGATGGTTCTGTGGTTTTGCCATCAGATGGCGCCATATCTGTTCATGTCTGCTCATCCCTTCTAGTGCTGGAATTCTATTTAGGCTTAACAAGAATATCTAAATACGATCAGGACGGACGCTTGGTGTATATAACCTAATTTTATTAGGATCAAATGGTTTTTAGTCCTTTTTGTACAAGCTTATAACATGACTCTACACATGTAATGGTTGTGATATTGGTTAGATATTTATGGTGACTTCTTTTCTCTCAAAAAAGGAAAAAATAAATAAATAAACATGTGGTTAGGGAAGTGTGTCTAAATGCTCATATAAGCTCAAGAGGATGTAAACTAAACACCCTGATTTGCTGATGAATAATTTGTCGGGCGATCATGAGAGGGAAAGAGAAATAGAAAACTAAATAAATAAAAGTCTACATCCTTCTCCTCCTCCAAAAACTGCAAGTGCTTTTATTAAATGAATTCAGCTTCACAAAAGAAGGAATAAAAAGCACATTTCAAGTGCAAAACAATAAAAAATGTGACAATGACATCTATTCCCGGTTTAAAGGAAATAGATGGATGAGAGAAACATGAGAGAAAGAGAAAAATAAATAATAATGTTTTAATGACTAAATAAACAATGAATCTACAAGACATATAGCTTTGGGTTTACCTTCAGAAATGACACTGTACAGTGAGAGGAAAGAAAAATGAATAAATGTTGTCCAAAAAAAAAACTCATGTCTTTTCTAGAAAAACCCTGCATGTTGGGAATCCTTTTTATTGTTTTATGATAAATGTGTCCGTGTTTAAACATCACAGAAAAATGTTCCTGTTTGTTTTATCAGCAGCTGCTCTGGGTTCAAAGTTTAAACATTCAGGGTAAATGATATGCCACAGGAGAGCCATCTGATGAATGGATACATGCATTCATAATGAATGCCTCTTAATGAATATTGCACATTGCATGCAACTTCCCGACCTACAATAAGAGATGGAATATGGAAATGAAATGCACACGCACATACACTCTAACAGAAAACATAAAAAAACAAGCTTAATCTTTTTTGGAAATATGCACTGAGGCTTAAAGCTTGTGTTGTGGTCCTTCCTGGTGGTCAGTCACCTAACATTAACTAGAGCAGAGAGGTGGGACACAGTGCACCTTTTAAAAGCACACTTAAGACAGCACACACATGCAAATGGCTTCATCTCTCCATCCATCTACGGAGATATATGCAGGTTTGTTGGGCTATTCTTTCAAGTGCAACAAAATAGACAGACCGATATAAGGTTATGATGTCATATAATACTGTAGATATACACTTTCTTGTATTGTAGATTGTGTATATTCAGATATATAGAGGAATACCCGAAGGAAGCAGCGGGAGGTGAGCAGCAAACACTGCAAACGTGGTGAGATTGCTTGCAAATACTGAAAACAAAAAACAAAAGCACGTCCTGTTTATATCCCCTAGTTTATCATGCAGTATAAATAGAGGTCACCTCAAACTAATTTACAGAAAATAAACATTTTGAAAGCTCACTGACAGAACTGACCGCAGCATTTCCACCCTCTCGTGCTCGTGCTAAAGGAGGGTGCAATCGACACGCAGGAGGGGTGTGAATGCTGCGGTTTTTATTTTTCTGTCTGTTTGCAGACGATGAGAGAGGGGGAGAAAAATTCTGGGTTTTGTAGGGGAGGTGCAGACTATTTGTCGGAGTTGATCCTCAGCCTGAAAGACACTCTACCAGCAAACTTGTCTCTTTCATTTCCAATGGGGATGTTGTTGGAGTTTATCTTGCACTCAATGTTGACGTCTTGATTGACGGTGATGTTAAGGAACTTGACGGCGACCAAAGGCTGTGAGTAATTCACCTGCAGTAAGAAAGCAAAGGTCATTTTTAGGGGCAAAGCTCAGATTTAAACAAGCAAAACTGTTAAAAAGTTCTGAGTCAATGAGTCAGTTTTGCTTTAAGCAAGCAAAGAACATGTTTTTTTGTAAAAGGAAATTAAAAATAAAATTTTTGTAAATTTAAATTTGACAAAATGCAACAAAGACATTATAAAAATGTTTAAATAAAAAAAAAGTTTTGATAGTAGCATTGCTATTTTCTCAGTTTGTATTTATTTATTTATTTATTTAATTTCTTTACAGATTTTCAAATTTTCCAATGCAACTTTTTTCATTATTTTTGCTGAGTTTACATTTTCATGTGTCTGTTTTTCATATTAAATTTCACTTCGAGTCCAATACAGATCCTCAGCCTTTAGCATTAAAAACGCTGTTGCTAATGTCCTTTAAGACCAACAGAAATACGTTTTCTTTCATCACTCCAGAGAAAAGCCTGTCCTCAGCAGTGAAGAGAATGTAATTTGTAAAACTTAATCTAAAAAACGGAATTTTGAAAAAAAAAAAAGGTTTCAAAGATTAAATCTGTTGAAAAAATAATTGAAAATGTATATTATTTTAATCTTTAGAAAAGAATTATTGAAAGAAAAAAAAAATATATATATATATATATTTCTGGATTGTTTGTTTTTTTGTGTCAAATTTCTATTTACAAAATGTGTTTTTTGCTTGAAACAATAATAGGAGAAAGTCACCCCATATAGTTGCAGATGTCCATTAATTGAAGATATTCCCTACCTGAGCTTTCTTTCCATAGTAAGGGTAGTACATCAGATCGAAGGTGCCGTTGGAAGGAAAGTAAAGCATCTCCCCAATTTTGTCAGAGTCGTCTCTCTGAAATGGAGAAGCAGTTAGGAACATATTTCAGTTTTCTGTTTCCTCTTCCTGAGCTGCTTAGAAAATATGCCTGCTACCTACTTCAAGTCTAATATACACTGAATACAAAACGTTTTAAACTTCCAATAATGTGCTGCACATTTTCATTTAATCCCCCTTCAGCAAAGAACCTGGGTCTCTATTATCAGGCAATGATTGGACAATTTGATTGGATGATGCTAAAACCTAATTTAGATTTTTTTCCATTGTAGCTCTGACTGTATGTTTAGAGTCATTGTTGTCTTTGAAGGTGAGCCTCCAGGTGAGCATGAAGTGTTTGTAGGTTTGTTTTAAAACTGTCCAAAACAACATCAACTGTGGTGTGTCTCTGTTTCGCCTCAGCAGGGTGTCATCATTCAATAAGGATATGGTGAGGCAGTGTTAGTTTGGTCTCCTTTAACTGGAGCACCCTTATGTTTGTATGGTTCCCCAGAGCATGATGATGCAAACACCTATTTTTGTTTTCTTCTGAACAAAGCATACTGCATGTTCTTCGGTTCTATCTGACCAGAGCTGCTTCTTCTATGTGATAATCTGGCCCCAATGACTTTCTTCAAATATTAGTATATTTGCTTATTATGAAAAGAAAAATCAACTAGCAATTTTAGCATTGTGTTTTAGTCCCACAGACAAATGTTTGAATAGACTGTTGATAAGAAAACAAGTGACTAAATCCAACCCCTCAACATGTCACTGTCCGCTTGTAGAGATGCTCTGCATTTTATTCTGAGTATCTTTAGTTAAGAGAAGCCAGACTGACAGGCATACAGGAGAATACATTTAAGTACTCTGTTCGCCAAGGCGGGATCATCCTTTCTTATAGGTCACAATGTTTAAAGGGATCAATGAACAGTTATAACGGCAGCATTTAGTATCGCTGCTTCCTTTTCTATGTCTGCTTCTGTCTCCTTGAAGCCCAGCCGGCCTCAGCATATGGCCGCTCACATTTCTTCTGGTTCTGCTGGAGATTCCTTCCTGTTAATAGGGAGTTTTCCTCTCCACTGTCGCTACAAGCATGCTTGGTGTGAGGGATTGCTGAAGAGTCCATGAGTCTATGCGATCAGCTGGTTTTCCTTAGATAGAATACTTTGAATCAATTTGACTGTATGATCTGGTTGAATTGATTTTATAAAGTGACCTGAGATGGCGTTTTGTGAATTGGTGCTATATAAATAAACTGAATTGAAATTTATTTAAGAAATATTTATTTTCAAAGTGAATACGACACTGTAAAATACTGTACGCCTTTTAGTTTTATAAATTGAAATAAAATACTGTCACACAGATGATGCTATGTTGCTTACACAGCAATACATATAACGATGATGCTATGTTGCTTACACGGATGAAGATGCTATGTTGCTTACAGAGCAACGCCATTTACTCAGAATGTATTGCTTACACAGCAATACATTCTGAGTAAATGACGTATAGGTCCTGTAGCTGTAGCTCTGTCCAACTAATATAGCAATGAGTAACCTTAAACCTTTTCTGTTTGAACTGGAGAAAGTGAACTTGCTTTAAAAAGCAACACTTATCTACCCATAAATGGCAAGTGGATCTTATTTTATTCAGGGATATGAAAGTAAAAGGGGGTGATAACAAATGCATGCCACATTATTCAGTTTTTGACCTAATTTATCACTACCTGCTAAGCCACTAAGCATCTACATTTCACTAGATGCAACTTCTTTGCTGATCTTACCCATTCGTCCTTGCCAACTTTGTATTTCTGATAGGGAACAATTTTGTGGATTAAAATGAGAATAAAAGACAGCAGCAAATATATAGATGATCATTAAGAGGAAACTAAAGGGGAATGGTAGGTAGGTACAGAAAGATGAGAGGAGCTATGAATGGGCTGGACTCCAATTGGTTGTGTTCAGGCTTTCATTGTGAAGGACATAAAGGGATTACCTTTGCACCACAGGTGACAGACGGAGGCTGTCCATCCTTTCCTGGCAGCATACCAATCACCTTGTGGGATAGAAAAAAAAACAAAGCTCTGAATTGAACAGATGTCTCTGATAAGTACCTGTACTCTTATGCTGCTTTCATGTGGTGTCGTAATCATGGTAAATATAAGAGACCAACATGCAAACTGTACATAGACACCAACTCATGCTGTAATTCTGCTGGAAAATTGGAAATACTTTATGATCCCTGAGTTGCAGAGAGGAGGTCAACTTTGACCTTTCAACATGTGAGAGAGCAGAATTCTGTATGATGAGTACTGCATTGGTAATCTTCTATCCTGTTGTGTTTGTAGCCTACACAGTGCTGTGACATACTTTATAAAAAAATCTATAATTTAAATCTACCATTTAAACTTGTGTCGTTTTTGAAAATGACCATGGATATTTAATTTTAGGAAGTTGCCCAAATAGCAGGTCAGGATAATATTTGGATCCGCCATATTTCTCTTCTCTACCACAACATAAGCACTTAAACACAATGAGCTGGTAATTTCCACTTACAAGTGGAAAGGATCCTCTTTACCACATGAAGAAAGTATTTATTCAAACCATATTTTCTACTCTTTCCCAGCCGGTCTTTTTTTTTTTTATTGTTTCCCGCACTCAATGTCTCTTAGCAACAGCATCCAGTTCCCTTCTTTTTTTCCCTTCCTTTCATACCCGATTCAGCTTGATGATGATGCACGGCTTGCCCTCCTGGTATCCATAGCTACGGTCCTGGAGTCCGGAGCATTCCTCCAGAATGGTGCGGTTGAACTGACAGGAGCGCTTCGGGTTATTCTTCACCTCGCCGCTGTCCTCCTGCAGAAAGTACTGCTCCGGGGTGCACTCGTGGTTTTTCTGGGCCTGGATGGAGTCGTTGTAGGCTGCAGGGGGGAGAGGAGTGTGGTGGTGGGGGTTACTCTGTGAAGGCTCATGAGTCAACTGAAGCTCTGCCGCAAGGCAACCTCCTACTCACTGACGGTAAAAAGAATGATACATTATTAGAAAGAAAGCAATTTGGATAATCCACAGCTGTAAGTCCATCGAGTTAGTTCTGGTAGAGCACAGCAGTCCAACTTACATGACAGGAACTCATCTAGCTTCTGAGGGAACTTGTCCCAGCTCTCAGTTTTCTGAATGGTGTAAATGATATCGTTGGTTTCCTGAGGTTCATGATGGGGCCTGATCACTAAACCTGCGGGAGACAAAGAGGAAACAGGAAGGTGATGATGGCTCTATCTGAGTGGGTTCTGCACCCACGCTGTTTGAACTCGCAGTATCTGGCACCTGGTGTAGAAAGGCGGTCCTGCCAGGTGGGTTTGTGGTCATCCAGGGTCTGCAGCATGATGTACATGGTGAGAGCAAAAAGGCCCGCCAGGAAGAGGTAGAAAACTATATAGAAGAGGATGATGAGACCTACAGAGGATGAAGGAAAATATTGTTATATTATGTTTTAACAGTTTTTCATTAATTCAACAGGTCAAAAAAGAAATCTTACACTTAAAAAGACACCAGACAAGAAATACACAATAAACTATAGCTCAAGACGTTTCAGTTCAAGTTAAGTTGCATTTTTTATGCTTTTTAGCCTTAAAAGTAAACTAAAAACACACGGTCATGGAATTAAAACAGTCATAGTCTAAATAAAACTTTTCTTATTAAGATGCAAACATGGTAATTGATGATGAAAACAAGAAGTTTAATGTTTGACCAAAACAGCATTGATTGATTCCCACCTTTTCAATGTGCATAACCAGAATAATCTCAATCACCATGTGCTGACATTAAATGACACATAGAGAGCAAGATTGTAAAAAAAGAAAGTTTAAAGTCTGTTGATGAGCCCTAAGTTTTAACCGAAAAATGGATGCTTTTGCATGACTAATTCAAAGCTTTATAGTGTGTTTATTTAGATTATTTTTATGTTATTTATATGCATTTTGTTTCATTAATGTATGTTTTTGCAAATTAGTTTGGTAATACTTTAAACAATACTTCTTTTTCTATTTTTTTTTATTCAACTTTTCCAATTAAGCATATGCTCTTAATATGCTCTTCATTAAGACAAAGGCTCAGCTTCCCAATTTAGTGCTTCAGCTGAACTTTGATCCACCTTCAACCCATCTTCTCCTTCGCTCATAGTCCATTCTTCACCTCTCTCATCCTCCAGCTTCTTCACCACCAGTGTCCGGGTCCCAAGGAGAAGACTACTCTAATCCACCCTAAAAAGTTATTGATCCAGGCTTATGTCTACTCATAGCTTAATGTCTCCTACCGGGGTCCGAGTGCGAAAGAACTTTGCATTCATGTCAATTAAATCTTTTTAATTTTCTTTTTACATCAGGTCCTAAAAACATCTTTTTTTGTTTGTTTTTTTAAAAGACATGAAATATTTTCACTGATCAAAATTAACCAATAGAAAAATAAACGCACACAACATCTATATTTTCCAGTCACTGAAGGCAGACAAGATTTTCCATAGGGTCCTTGCTGGTGAAGCTGTATGGATATGTATACATTAGTGCCATTGAAATGAATTCATGGTTCTGCATGATATATAGATTAAATGGGGTTTAGAGAAGACTCTTAGGTAGCTGAGGAAACAAATTCGCCCCTAAACCTAGGATACAATTCATAACAGTGCAAATATTCTTTATTAGTCCTCTTCATTTGTAGTATATTTTTGTGACTGATTTAAAAAATTAAAAATGTCAAAGTAGGAAGTACTTTAAAGTACTTTAACATACATTAACCATCACAAATTAACTACTTGTAATCACTAATCCTCTATTGTGTGCTGTGTTCCGTAGAATCCAATTTTTACCAGAAGAATGAGCTACACTCATCTTTTTAGAAGGATGCTGATGACGATTCTCAGTCATCCAGGTCATAGAGTTGTCATTCCAAAAAAGTAAAAAAAATAAATAAATAAATTGAGAAAGCTTTCTGGATGGGAAGCCAAATGACTTCAAACTTGGAAAACAAGTCCAGTGTTTTTTTTTTTTACTTTTTTGGAATCTTTTCAGGAAGCCATTTTTATGCTCAGCAGAATGAGCTTCCATCTCTTGATATAATACAAAATTCTAAATGAAAAACTATTAAACTATTAGAAAACAGTGGTTAGTTACTGACAAATGTCTGTCAGGTCAAAGTGAACAAAACTTTAGTTTTCTCTGTGATTATAAAATAACACTGAGTTATGTAAGTTATGTAAAGACAAACCCCACAAGACCAAAATTACTTTCTACTCTATTTTTTTTAAGCAAAGGATAGAAATTAAAGAAACAACTTGACATGTTTGTGTATTTTTTTACCATCAATTACTAAAAGATTGTGAAACCCACTGCTGGAATCTTTGTGCTGTTGTCATGTCGACCTCCCCAGTATGGCCGCCATAATTTATGTGCTGCAACAGCCAATGCAGGATCTTTTTTATACAAGAACAGCATGATTAGACACTGTTTCCTCAGAATTTTCTGTGTTTTTAACCCCTATATAACAATCACAATATACAGTGTCCTGCAACTGAAAGTGAAATACATTTTATGCCGTGACCACTGTAGAAAAAGGGTAAAAATAAGCAAAAAATGTGACTAGTGTAAAAAAAAAAAGAGCATGGAGCAGATAGGACTTCTGGGTCAGCATGCTTAGTTGAAATCTGATCATTAAAAACGCAATAGTTATTTGATACAAAAAAAATCGGAAGACAAGGTAACATTTTGTTTCAAACGAAAAAATAAACTGCCTGAATATACCTGGATGAAAATTTCCTTTTAATGAAAGTAATAGCATACAAATACTTGTTTTAACTAGTTTTGATGAGTCCAAAATATTTTGATATTTACTTAATATGATGTCTACAAAAACATACAAACACATGATGTAATTGCAGGAAGAAAATAGAAATTTATTGAATAAATGAACCATTTTTCTCTTCAACATAATTTTGATAGCAATATTGACTTGACTTACAAAGTAAATTTAAAGTTAACTCATAATAATTGTATTTGAAAGTCGTTTTTTTTAAAGGAGATTGTAGATCATCTTTGTTCAACTACTGACTTGAATCCTCTAATCCATCAAAGAGGGACTGATAATACAATCTCACCTTAAATGATATTATGAAACATTACAGCTAAATTAATGATTTTATCACTTCAGGAACCTGTGGAACTCAACATGAAGGCCACATTAGACCAACCTCTCTATAACTTATTATACAAAGTCCAAAGTAGATCTTATTTTTAAATAAATAATGAGATTGGGAAATTTAGCTACTTAGGAAACAATCCAAAATAAATTCTAAGTACTGCTAATGTGTGACTCAATACTGTACAAGCTATTATTTTTCAGTGACCTGGATTATTTAATTGTGGAGCAATACGACTATCGCCATTTTGTTCCGCTTGATTTATGCATGTAAATAGCTTTATTATATTTGATGCAGGGAGTATTACAGATTATATAGACACTGCAATGGGAAAGTTAGCTTCTACAAATCAAAACACATTCTATTATCTTATTTTTGAAACAATGCACTTCATTCTACTACTTTCTATGTTTATAAACTCCTTCATTATAATCCTACAATGAAGGATCTCATGGTTTTTGTTCTAAGATATTTAAGCAATATTAAGAAAGCATATTTTGAGTTTTGTTTTCTTTTTTGGTAAAAAATGTCTAGAGGAAGGATTCCCAAACATTTCAATCTGTGAGACCAGAAATAACAACAGACTGGAGGCGCCCTAAAACTACATATTCACCTAAATACTTCACTCTATATTTATTTATACAAATAATTAAAATAAAATTAAAAACTGAAATAAAAATAAAGTATTTGATTTTTTATTGAAATATTTCTTTATTAATGTGCCATTTAATCATCTAATTGTACAATATCATGGTATCTTTAATATTTGAATCTTGTTTAGGATAAATTATTTAAAAATAAATTCAGCATTTAATTGTTTTCATTGGATATTAAGGTTAATGTCTACTGTCCATATACCCCGGTGATCACATCACAATGATTGTGAAAACCATCTTGTGACCCGCCAAGCTGGAAAGTTAACCCGAAGCTTTAAAGGTTTGGTTTGTTTGGTTTAGTTTTTTTGGTTTGATTAATTTTAATTTATTTTAGTTTAATCTGGTTTGGTTTAGTTTGATTAATTTTACTTTAGTTTACCACTTACTAAATCTTTAATCAATCACACATTTAAGAGATGCACTGTACCAGACTATTGTTCTAAGACCTAATTTCCACCTGCAGTCCCTGAAACTTTAAAAAACAGTAAATAGTAAAAGATTCTCATAGAAAAATATGCCTGAATACAATCTATATCCAGAAAAGCATAATCACTTTCTATAAAATTTGCTATAATATTTAAGAGCATTAAATCTTATGGCTTGTGTGCCTTTATGACTGAATATTCACCAAACCCCTTTTGCCACTCCTTTTAAATATTAAAACACATTAACTCTTTAGTGGTAACATGTCTGGATAGCTGTTAAATGTTTTCTAAAAATCTGGCTAAAAGAGTTTGTAGTCTTTACATAGCTTTATTTATGATAGGAGTTTGTTCCAATCAGTTATATTTTTGAGGGAAAAAGCACATTGGCAGTAAAAGTCATGTCCTGAGGAACATCACCAGCAGCACTGGGAAACAGCTGAATGCCCTGTGACCCTCTGTTTCTGCTGGAAGCCCCCAGCGAAGCGCTCTTTCAGCAGTAGTGTTGCATCTACCTCCCCTGCATAAAACAACACTGGTAGTAATCCATGACTAAATGTCAAGGGGAAGCTGATCCAAGGGAGGGCAATTACAGAAGGGTTCCTTAATGATTCAAAGCCCATGTGGTTGTCCTTTTTTATCCAACTGTTTCCAAAAATATGCAGCCTTTGTTAAATCAAATCAAAGTAAAGTGGGAATCAATGGCTTTATTGTGGAAGAACAAGTTATCAGTCTGCAAGTCACTGAGCAGAATTCAAGATGTCTGGAAGAGGCAATGACAAGACAAAGTGCTGAAGCATTTCTCTTTGTCTTCATGGGAGCAGATTGTGCTGACTACAACGTTACACCACCCAGGGGAGTTTAGAGGTGCAAAGTGGCACACAGAACTGAGCATGCAAGCATCCCTCATCAACGTATAGAGGGTATTAAGTTCACAGCGTGCCCTCCCAGAACACACAGATGATGGACGGCGAAATTCTCTTTCTGCCGTTTGCAAACTATAAATGAGAGCTGCTTAGTTGCTCTATATCCAAGAAGATGGTGAAGAGCAACTAATGTTGCCTCAGAAAACTGGATCAAAGCCCTCTTTGAGGATAAAACAAACGTAATGCACACGGTTGCATTTTTTTGTTTTGTATGCCAGCCTGCAGAGCTGGCATACACACAGAAAACCACATATTTCCTGTCTATCGAAGACAGGAAATATGTGGTTTTCTCTCAGAGAAAACTGGGAGCTCATGCTGCGTAATGGCTTTGTAACCCGATATAAAACAGTCTACTGAACTCAAAAGAAAGGCCCAAGGAAACAAACTAAATCTTAGAGCTTAACTGTAAGAGCAAGAAAAAAATAAAATAAAACTGCTTTCACTTTTTTGGCATTGCAGTAAGAGCACTACCCTCTTTTCTTTTCGGAGATGCAGAGGACCAAATTAGCCTTGTCTAAATCCCAGACTCAGAACCTGTTTTGTCAGCTGGTGGTCCTGTGTATCATCAAACCTTTTCTGTGCAGGCTGGCATACAAAGCAAAAAACGCAAACGTGTGCATTACGTTTGTTTTATCCTCAAAGAAGGCTTTGATCCAGATTTCTGAGGCAATATTATGCAGATTCATTGACCCTCACAGCAAGATGAAAAACAAAAATCTACTTCTGATGGAGCTGACCAACTAAATAGTACTTCAAAATACTATTGAACCAAGTAAAAATAAAATATATGCTTTCTACTGAATGTTAAAGATTATGTAGGTTTGAAAATTATGCAGGAATATGTCTATATTGTGCAATCTTAATGGGGTGACTTTATTTTCAGTGTTGCCCTGTAAAATGCCAAGTGTATGTCCTGTAATAAGTGACAACAGAAATAGACTAATTACTAAGCCTTAGAGAGCACAGATTAAACAGGCCGTAGGACCTTGGAGCAATGGGGACAAACTGAGCTGGATTACATTTGCCTCTGTGGGAGACAGAGCCGGCCCAAGGCGCAAGCGAATTTAGCTGCTGCTCAATGCCTCCAGAGCAGCAGGGGGTGTTCTGTGGTAATCCCTAATGTTTATGAAGGAACTCATTTCTCTGTTCCTACTTTTATAAAATAATAAAGAAAAAGTTAAAAAAAAATCAACTATTCTACACTATTTCAGATTTGATATTGCTGATAAAGTCTAATAATTGTTGCAAATGTTATTGTCTTAGCACTTGCGCCAGAATCTTTAAAACTGTTTCCAAATCAGTTAATAAAATAAATAAATTCCAATATAAATCAGTGCTTATTAAGTCGTTACTTACATGTGCAACTTGCCTGTTTTATTAGTTTTGGGATGACTGGTTGTTGGCCGCTCTTTGCTATGCTCCACCCTGTTAATTAGAGGGAGCAGATGCACTGCCTCTCTATCAACATCGCTCTCATTCCACCTACCTACCTCTTTCAGGTATTCCCCACGATATTGTAACTCACATTACACTCACTGTATTCTCATCTGCTTCTGACTCTGGTCACGTCCTAGACTGTCACTTCCAGTCAACAGTCTGTTTTACCATCATCCGTCTTCTCAAAGCCTGCCACCAGCCTGCCTTCAGCCTCTCAGCCATCTTCCATTCTCTCAAAGCCTGCCTTCAGTCTGTTCAGTCATCAACTGCGTGCTCAAAGCTTGTTACCAGGAAGTCCAGCCGGTCACCAACGTGTTCTGACTTGCTCTGCCTTCTCAAGCCTGCTACCAGTCAGTCCGCCAATTATTCCAGGCCATCATTATCAAAAACATTTAATAAACATTTTACAAGTAACACCATGTCAGGCTTAAGGTCAGGTTCCTAGAGGTTCCTCTTAACAAGATGTTGCATTTACTGAATTATGACAAATGTGACTTTGAACATAAGGGTGTTCTGTGGTCTTCTTCCTTTACTGGATTTATACATTATAAAACAACATTTTACATTGACTGCACCCAGATAAGTCGATATTTTCAAAATATCAAAAATGGTATTTGTTCTTCCTAGTCCTTTGCATTGCCAGAATGTCCTGAATTGATACCTTCTTCATGAGCCTATGAAGTCATTAGATTAGGATTAAATCCCTATGCTGAACTACACAAGCCAGGCGTGGCCAGGTTGAGGGTGATACAAATAGCATTTGGCCCTCGGCTTTACCCAGATTAAACTGCCCTTGGTGACATTAGAACACAGACATATGGGTGCTGCTATTTCATGAACCTTTGAAACCATTGAAATGCCTCTCTATGATTGGGAGGGGCCTCAGAAAATGTAAAAAGGGGGAGGGGTTGGATGAGGTGGGGGCACTGATCATCTTAGTGTTAGCAGATTTAAAAACAAAAGCAATAGAAACATTTTAAGGATTTTCCCCTTTATTTAGGGGCTGGAGAATGGTATAAAGGTATAAAAGAATAAAAAATGAAATATGTTTAAATGAATAAATGTTTAAACAGCTTTGGGTCAACTTTGTTTTTTGTACCAACATACCCATAAAACAAATTGTTATGTGCCAATATACCAAAATCATTACAAATGAATTTATTTCTCTTGATGATCAAACATTTTGATGTTTTAATGTAGATTTGTTTTTATTTAGAATGGAGAAAAAAAATTAAATCAATAAAAGACCATTTATTTCCATTGAAATAATTTAAAGGAATTGTTTAGAGAAACTGCATCCAGCTAATTTCTTTTTAGAAACTATTCCTTTATACTAGTAATTAATATCTGAGTAATATTGTTTTATCAACATACTTAAGCATTGGTAATCTGTTTATTTTTCTGTTACTGAAGTATACTCTGAGCCATAATGAAGAAACAAAATCTTCAGAAAGAAGCTTAAATCTCTCCCCTGATGTAATTTAATGCATTTTTTTTTAAGATATCTTATTACGCCATGTTGCATTTATTATGATTTTTGAATCCCATTTAATCCATTTCAGGACTATTAAATATGACTAATTATGAGAAGTAACCCCAAACCAATCCTGGGGTCTTCGAATCACTGAAATCTGCTTAAAAGGAAAATTAGAACATGCAAAACTTGTTCAACTTTTTTTTTTTGTTGAAGCTGGGGACAGAAATGCATCTCAGTCACCTTTAGGGAATTATTTGGACCTGAGACTTTTGCATTTTGAAAAAGTTTGATATGAAGTGACCAACAATTTGTAAGCAAGATCACCAGCCCTTGTGAAACCCGATACATCAAAGTTTAAGATTGTATTCAGAAATAGATAGGGTTGGACATATACAACTTTCTTACAGAGGGCAGTAAGTTTACAGGTGTGGCCATCCCTCCCAATGCCCCCCATACTAGCAACGCCCCTGTGTAGGTGATAAAAAAAGAAGTTGTGGCAAACAAATTATCAACCCGCATCATATTGAATGTATTTTTGACAGTTGGATGCAAGGAAAGTAGTTTCTGCTTAACTTAAAACAATTACTTCTTAGAAGAAGGGCTTATCTTCAACAGGGTTCAGAGTAAACCGATGTCAAGCACTTTGACTACAGCGTAGAGCTGCTGTAATCTAGAAAATCACATGGAAAAAGAGAAGGACACAGCATGACTTCACCCTTAGGTGCAGCATTATAGCCCGGAAAAGCTCTGGCCTATATAAGTAATAACCCTCCATGAGGGAAATGATGTGCCGGCTTCTGCGCGGAGCGGTGCCGCAGTCAGATTTCAGCACCACAGCTCTGGACAGCGACAGTCCCCTCATGATCGGAAAACCTCCATAGATAAACTTCTGCAAAGGTGAATTTCTGACATTGTCACACAAATTTTAGTGATTTTAATGCACCCAAACCCCCCACCCGCGGCGCCTGAGGGATATACTCCCTAAGAGCGACCTGTTACAGAGCCAGGGGGAGCTTGTTTGCTGCATTGCTGTAAGCTGCACAGACTTACTCACCCCAGCTGCTCGCCGTTCTGCCCAGAAACTCCCTGGTCCTTGGGTTCCAAACACACTCCTTCCATTCGCTTTTCTCTCCATCCTTTGCCATTCTGTTCTAAATTAGTTTTGTTGTTTTTTTAACCTACAAAAGTTGCGTTGCAATTGCTCTACACTAGAGGTTGCAACAATTGCCCCTGACACCGGTAACAAAAAACAAAAAAGAAGCCAAAAATTAGAAATGATGAACTCAGACGCTCAGTGCTAAACAGATGGTTGGAAATGAAAGTAAAAAACTGTAGAGAGGCCGGTCTGATGAGAGGGAGCATCCAGGACAGACCTAATAAGTGCCCTCCCCTCGAGCTATAGCCTGCATGCCGCAGAGTTTTGATGAGTGGTGCAGAAATGTAGTGATACTGCGGTAAAGCACTCCCTCCGCCTCTCTCTGTACGTCTCACACACACACATTTACACACACGCACACAAACCATGCCTCATCCTCCCTCCCTCTTCCTGCAGGCTAAGCGAATCATCTGCCCTCCATCCCCACTCCTCAATGTCCCATGTCATGAGAGACAAGTCTATAAGCAAATTGTATGACCGGCCTGGCTCTTATTTTATTGGAGCAGGATGCATCATATATCCACACAACAATCAACAAATAATCCCACAGGGCCTCTAAAGGGCTCTACTTTAACATACTCCTATCTACTAGGTTTTTTTTTTTTTTTTTTGAGTTAAATTAAAGAATCCAAAACACATATTCAGCAACTAAATTATTCTAGAGGTATTTTAGGCACAACTAATTAGAATAAATATGTTGTATTTTCAACCAAATATTACAGTGAATCTTATATAGAAGTTTTTAAGCCATTTGAATGCACCAACTGCAGACATTATGTCAGAATAAATAAGACTGTTAATGAAATGTTTAAAAAAAAATAAAACTACTAACATCATCCTTTGCGACAGTTTAACAGTAGTTTGCATGACAGACACGACGGAGGAAATAAGGAGTGAAGGTAGCGCCCTCATTTGGAAAATGTAGGCATTGCAGGAGTGCAGAAGGAACAACATGTCCCCTTTTCCCCTCTGCTGCAGCTGCTGCAGTGCAAAGCCTGATGCATAAAGCTGTTCTCCAGGTCTGAAGAAACAGCATTAGATTAAAACCAACAGTATGCTATCAGTGTCTTTATTGGTTTCTGGAAAGAGACTGACCAATTGTTGTCTTTACAGTAAAAAAGATTTAAAAAAAAAAAGTTACTTACACAATAGATTTCAGTGTGTGGAAATAGATAACACTGAATAATAGTTGAGGAAAGTAACCTGTGGGGTCCCACGAGGCTAAGTACCGGGACCTAAGTTTCTCATACTTTAGCTAAATTCTATTTGTAGAGCCAAATACATTAAAAATTATGTCATCAGATGACACCAATTTAATTTTTCTTAATCTGAATCATTTATTCAAAATTTAGTTTTCAAAAACTGTTCGATTTTCACACTAAATAAAAACAAAATTCAGGGTGTTTGGTGGTAATTGCGTTGATACTTTAAAACCCTACCATTCACTACAAATACTGATCTATAACTAAATATAAGGAAATCAAATCTCAAATCAGGATAATAACCCTCACTTTGAGCAGGTAAATAAGATGATCTGGCAACAAAATTAGTATTTGTCCCTTAAGATAAGATAATTACCTATTATACACTGGAAATAAGATAATTATTTCAAACATCAATCTTCTTATTCCATTAGTAAAGTGTCTTACTTGCCTGATCAATTAAGGGAAAATAAACTTAAGTCAAGAAAAATTGACTTACTTGAAATTATTTTATGGTTAATAAACAATGCCTGATATGAAAAAGCATCTAATCAATTATTTTTAAAAGCTTTCACCTTCAATTATTTGACATATATTTACAAGTATTGGGAGTACTTGTCCAAGTAATAAATAAATGTCTTCATATTTGAAATCAGAATCTACTTATATTAATAAAAGGATAATATAATTCAGGAGGATAAACTATTTCTGAAATAATTAAAGGAGGAACTGACATGAATAATAGTTGTGTTTCAGATTTTACTGAAACACAGAATAATAAATGCTGATTTGAATTTAATATAATTAGGGTTTAAAAGATTATTGAATGATTGTGAAATTCCTTTTTTTTTCCATGTCATTCAGCCTGTGCCTTTTTCAGATATTAATTGTAAAACTTTTTAAAATATACATTGTGTTGTTTTTAAAATGGGTTTATTTAAAGTTTATTTATTTGATGTAATAAGCATTAATAATTTATTTCAACTGCCTCTTTATTTTAAATAAAAACATCTGTCCATAGTTTTAGGGGGCTGCACTCACTCAATAACTAAAAACATATGGCTTGAATTATATTGACTTCACAGTATTTATATGAGTTCACATCCAATAAAACAAGGAGACCTTTTTTTTATTACTAGTTTGGAACAAAATATTGTTGTTGCATATCAATTGAAATAATCTAATAGAATAAATAAAAACAATTCTGAATTATGCCAGCGTGGTATTTTGTTTTCTGATCTTGACCTAATGTAAGTTGTTTGCATTTACATACATTTAAAAACAAAACATTTCTGGTTGCACCTATTTGCATTCAACCCGATAAGTTCGAGCTGATGTGGGATATTGCTGATCTGAAACATGGTTTGTGTGATAGATCCATAGGGGGGTATAATGCTACAAAATTTGACTAAAGATGCAAAAATAGAAATATTTTTTCTAGCTTGAATAGATCATGGTTCTCCTATCAAAGGAAAACATTATGGAACTGATTTGATTTTTGCACGAGATTGGTGTTATATGTGGGTTCTTATCATCATCAATAACAATAATAAAAAAATTATTTGGACCAAAATCTGAAGTCTTTAAACATGCAAAAAAAAAAGTATTAAAATCCATTGTTTCATTACTCCATCCATCCATACCAGCTTATCCTCGCAGCGTCACTGATGACATACAGGAACATGGACCACTTTTGCTTGTTGTGTAAAGTTCATTATATAAAATTTATTTCCAATGACAATATCAATGCAAATATAGCAGTACAGTGATTTCCAAGGTACACCGTATCTTACCATATCAATAGAGTATATGGCACTCGTATAATGGCCACTGTTTCAGAAGACACACAAAACCAACAGCCTCTGTAAACTATTCTGGAAACAAATAAAAGGTATCCAGTACCTTAGGTTTCGATCAGTCCATCAGACGTATAAGGTGATTACTTGGTATTTAAACTCAAACTGGGCACAATAGGAAGTATCATTTGGAGCATTTCAGTGTAAGGAATCTCTGCATGCATTGCACTTGCCCATTTCATCCGAGTTGGCCTCTTTGTGTGTGTTTTTGTTGTTTTTTTCCTTTATATGAAATGGACTCAAAAGGCGTAGTAAAAATTAAAAACCCTCAAACACGAGCAGGAGGACGTAAACAAATAATAATAAAATAAAAAAAAGGGGATTAAAGAGTAAGTCATACATTTCAAATAGGTCTTTTTCCACTGGATGTACTGCACTGTACAGTTTGGTACTATAACTATTATAAAAAAAGAAAAAGAAAACAAACAAGAGACATTCAAGCGCCTTAAAACTATTACAGGAGAGCTGACTTTTTAAGATACAAACTTAACTTCATGTGGCTTCCTAGACTCCTCCCATCCAAATATATATATATGTATATATATATATATGTATTTATAACAATAAGTATTATCTCAATAAAGTTTATCATGGCAACATTATGTAGTCCAATGAACGACACGGGTATTAAAATAGCAGCAAAGTATTAAAAATGTTAAGACCAAAAAGCAGTTGAAATCTGTACACAAATAAAAGTGAATGTAGAAAAAGGGGGTTGAATAAATAACAGAGCTTAAAGGGAATCTTGCATAAAATTATATAAACAACTGTTGTATTTTTTTTGAGAGGGCTCATTGTTTGCAATTCGAACAATAAGTAATGCATGGGCTGTCTGCAGCAGGTACTTAATTATCTTAGAAAAAGAACAAAAACAAAGAAACAAAGTCATGTTTATACAGTCTATGCTACATAATATGTATTGATTACAAGTATGAAAATGGAGATAACTGCTACATTTTCAATCAACTTGTACAGGTCTATTTACAGTACACTAGGGGTGTGAAGTTTGTCCTCTTTGTGCGGATCGTTCCAGCATTCAGTTTGAGGTGATGTATGCTCACAGTCTCATTAGTTGCCTCGTGTTGCACTGTCTTTGAGCTCATGGGTGTCAGTGCTCGGTGGACCAAACGCTAATGTGCAACGGGATAAAAAGCATGACCGGTGATGGAGTTTGTTTTCTTTTTTAACTCTAATTTGTGTCTAAGTATAATCGGCTGGACTAACCCCCCCTTTCAGTGGTAGATTCATCTTTTTCCCACAACCACACAGGACCAAAGTGAAGATCAAATTTTTTTGTTTGTTTGTTTTTACACTTACAGCACGGCATGTCTACTTTTTGGACATGCAGAGTATGACAAAGTAAATATGACTTTTTCAAGTCTCAGATATGCATGTTAGACTAGCTGAAACAAGTTTTTTTATTCTAAATATGTTCCTTCAGTTTTTTTTTGTTTTTCTTTTCTCCAAAACGTATTGCTGTAAATTTGCAGAAAGGTTGACAAAGTAAATCGATCTACATTACAAAAATGCAAATGGATACAGTAGGTAGTTTTTAACTTCTCAGTGATGATAACTTGCATCCACAATGACAATCTATTGATACCAACACGTCTCATATACATTCACGAGTTTCAAGAAACACTTCGACCTCCGTAGAGTAGTTTTTCGATACTTTGTTGGAGTAAAGTACATGATTCCTTTGTGTCTCAAGTAGTCAGGAGGATATTTGGCAACACCAATCTAGTGTATTAGCGATTATACTGGTGTTTGTGGCAAAAAAACAATAAAAAAAACGACTCGTTGGCAATCAGAACACATCAGTGCAGTACGTAGTACAGAGGAAATACAAATCAGTTGGGTAAGAAAGTAATCTAGTCTGATTGTACCTATTTACTATATTTCCTCACCTCTTTTTTGTTGCTCAAGTTCAGCGTCTCCACTAACCACATGTGGAGATGAGTTTTTAACGAGTTAATAGTAAAGTTTTTATTTCATCTTCATCTGAAAGATCATGTCATGTAATCTGCTCCTCCGGGGAGGAGGGGTCAGATAGCTGTGTCCCACACGACGGCCTGTGGCCTCTGACATGGTGGTGTGCCGGTCTTACGCGGCTCAGGTGTCCGTCTCCAGCTGGGGAGGATGGGCATGCTGTCCTGTTTGCACAGGCTTTTGTCGGGCCGTCTGTGCGCCTTGATCTCCTTGCACAGGCAGCGCTTGCGCTCGATGACCTCAAGCAGCTTGCCATCCCTC